TATCAAATATATATATAATATATAGTGCTATCCTTATGTGTGTACTAGCTTACACAAATCTCTACGTATGCATAATCTGTGTGCATGTGGTAGTACATTTACATGCATAGGAATCTTAAATGGATTTTTACAATTGGTTACACGCAATTCACTATACTCGGTCAACCAGTGTAGATTTTTTTCGGTGCTTATAATAAAATGTTTTCAGTGACCATAACTTTAAACTCAACCACAAATCATAATTACTGTAAATTAAACTGCAATAACCTAATTCTGCTACAAATAGAAAAAAACATTAACTGCTAATTGGACCACACAACACTGTTTAAATCCTGGACGACCTCTGTGAAAGTCTTGTGCCAGGTTAGGAGGGAGGGCAAGAGAGGACATAAGATGTGATCTGGATATGATACTAATGCCGTTTTTCTTCATTGATCTGTCTGTTCTCTGCTGGTGAAGATGTGTATAATCCAGGGAACTCAAATACTAGTAAAACCAGCTGCTGCATTGTTTCAAACATGGTGAGCTGTGGTGACAAGTCCAAAAAGAACCATCATCAACTCAGAGTACAGCAGCAAAGATCTGCCGTCCGAAAACACCTTTATGGTAAGAATTGATCCTGGGATGTGTCTGAAGTGCTTTAGTTGCATTAGTGCATTTTGAATGCGACATTAACTGCTGAGCTTAGTGTCGGTGAAGAAATCTGTGTGCAAAGTTTTGACATTTTAGCGTAAAGAAATGCCCAAAAACTAGCTTAGACTAGAGTCCTGTTTGGTGCTGTTTAAAAGTGGCTGTTAAAGGCTTTGAGTAATCCTCCTGGCTTCAGGAAGTCCTGAGAGCACAGAAAAATATTCCTCTGAATGAAATGAAGATGGAAAAGGCAGACACTTCATCAGCTTTCATAGACAGAGGGCAACATGAGGCCAACAAGATGTCAGTCTGCAGAGAAGAGAGAGAGAGAGAGAGAGAGAGAGAGAGAGAGAGAGAGAGAGAGAGAGAGAGAGAGAGAGATTATGTCAACAACAAGTGAACCAATGGAGTGCACAGTGAAACGAGAGGCCAGTAGAATGGCCTGAATATAAATCAGCGGTTCAAATCACAGGCTGGATGTAGAGCGAGTGAAGTAAAGTGCACAGAGAGGACATGAAAAAGGAGAGAGGAGGAAAGGGAGCTTGCTAGCGTCATGGATCACTCTCACTAATGTGCCCTGACTGATATTATAAGGCTGTGCCCAATTACTGGATGGTATCCCAGCCCTCACACAGACTCACACACACATACACACACACCCACACACACACACACACACACACATGCTATATGTGTAGATGTATTTTCACAGACATGATCATACACACAGAGAGATTGCGCTGTGTTTTGGAAGGTAGGTTACTGTTATTTTTTAATGAAGGCTGCTGCCAATATTCAGTTTTTATCCATTTCATGGCAATATAATACTATACTACTGCAACTTATATTATACAAACTGATAAAAGAAAGACACTTGTATTCCCACCAGACAAATGTCTACATGCACGGGAACATGAGTCAAATTCCACTGAGTGTAATGGTTCATGTTTTAGAGGCCGTGTCACATTGATCAGGCCTGTTGCCTGTCTGAGCGACATGCTTTCACTTTCCAAAACAAAAACACACGGGTCACCTCTCCCTCCACACTCATATGCTTGTCCAGACACACCGGCCTCCCCATCCTGTCCATCACAAACTCCCAGGGGAGAGCTGGCGAGGCTGCTGCATTTCTGACTGACAGACAGCCTGTCGATGTATGTGTAGTGTGTGTTGTTATGAGATCAGATGACTTTCACTGCTTCTCTTGACCTTTGATATATCTTCTTTTTCTGCTATTAGCCACTGTCTTGGTTCTGTTATTTAGATGCTCTAAGTCGGGCCAGTATGAGGCCTAAAGGATGGCAGTGTGTTTCAGCTTTGGTCAAGACTAAAAAAGCAAAAAAAAAATATTGAATGATTTCCATTACATTAGGTACAAAGATTCATGGTTCCCCATATGACGAACACTACTGATGTTGGTGATCTGCTGTGTTATGTGTATAGAGGTAGCAAATGTTAGAATTCCATCACATTACACTAAAATGGTGAATATAGTATAAATACCTTCACTGTGAGAACTGCTAGTGTGGCTGTAGAGTCTTATGGAGCAGACACACTGGATCCGTTGACTGATGTTAAGTCGACAGATGCTATTTATTGTCTATGGAGAGCAGGAGATGGTACATGATGGATACACCGCAGCAAGTTGACTGACCGTTTGCCATATCTGAATTTGCAACTTTATGCACTCTGCGCCCTTTTTTCTAACTGACTGACCCTGAACCTGAACTCTGTTGATTTTATGTCTTTCGTTTACTCTATTTTCTTGTGCAAGCTTTCGGTTGGTCTGTAGGCTTCACCACAGGCATTAGGGTTTCACTGAGAACGTAAAGATGTGTGTGAGGGTGAAGCCAAGGCTGATGCCGTAAATCAAGAAGGAAACAAAAGGAGATGGGAGAGTGCTTAAGATTCTGAGATAACACTACTTTATCTGTAGTCCTGCAATGAATGTGTCACAGAACAAAGTTCACAGACATTCACACATATCCCTATATAATACGCCATTCACTGGACTGTGTTAGCGTGCTGATGTTTAGCTCAAGAACTGCTGTGTTTATACAGACTCACACAGCAGCTAGCATGGCTGAAGTCTTGTTCACCTGCATATATTGTTATTATATATATTACATTTATACATATATAGTGTTTTCTCTTCTACCTTCACAAACATATCAGTAATGAAAATGAATAAATACATAAGAATTTTGGTTTAGTTGTGAAAAAGAGTTGCTGTGCAGTTGAAGATGTTCTGAATCAATATTGGACAGTAAGTGTGTCCTCAAAGTCAAACACATTCTGTCACTGTTTGATTCTGACATTAGACAGTAGCTATTGCTAAACTGAGAGTGCCTTTTATTGTCTAAATATTGCTTAATCCCATTTATGAGAAATAATGAATATAGCAACATTCAACAGCTGTGCTGGAAATACACATATGTAATACATTTATTCTAAGGCTGCCATGAAATCAATTTCTGTTGCTTAAAACCCTTAAAACCCTTCAAGTGTAATGAGATCTCAATGGAATCTTTTTTATGTAACTTAACATGAGGCCAGATATTGCTGTAGCACTAAAATAATCATGATTAAAGAAACTTTACATAATATGGTTCTGTCACGTTATGGCCAGGGTATCAGATAGGTGCATCCCTGGTTTTCTGACTGTCGTACAATTATTCTGTTGTGATCACCTTAGCAATGCTTTCTCAAGTCTGTTTTTGTGTAGTCCTGAATTGTGGACAATTATAAAAATCCAATAAATGGTGGGTCATCATCTTGGATAACAGTCTCTGATCTGTCACATCCAGATTGACTTGAATCTTTAAATCAAATAAACCTTTTTGTGACTTTCATGCAAATGTATAAACTCTTAGAGCTCCTCTCCAGGACATGCATCTGCAACGTATTAACCCGACTTAGACCACTGACTGACTGATTGATTGATGGATTGACTGACTCTCTTACTGAATGAATGACAATGTTCATCTCAGCATTCACTTTCCTTTCTCCACCTCAGCTCCATGCCTTATCCATCCCTCTCAACACTCCTAGCTACAGGCTTCAGATTAAAGCTGCTCTCATCTGGATCTCATCAGTTTAGGCCGGCCTTGCTGTTTTATAGGTTATTTTTCATTCAGCAGAAGGAGGGGGCATCTCAGAGTGATTTAGGGTTACACTGCATGGAGGCTGGAGGAGAATAAAAGAAACTTGTTGTCTTGAGGGGGAAGTGAATGAGGCAGCATGCAAAATGCCCTCCGGTAACAGCGTGCAGTTTTTAGGACAGGAGTCGAGCATTCTTCCCTTTTTTCTTCAAGTGTGTGTGTGTGTGTGTGTGTGTGTGTGTGTGTGTGTGTTCGTGCTGCTGAGCCAGTTTCTGAGCCATTTCCTCTCTGTTTTTCTAACTGTAATGCCTGTAACATGTGGTGGATTGTTGTGGGATGGCTGGACGAGTGTCACTGCCAAACACCATAACTCAATTTTGGGAAAAATTGTTGCCCAATATTCACAACGCTGTGTTTCAAAAATACGGCATCCACTGAGCTGTTACGAGTTTACGTCACAAAAAGCAGAGTTTAAAACTGTAGTTTAAGTAATAGTTTTTAGTTGTAAATATGGTCAGGGTTCAAGTACTATCCAGGGAACTAAGCCAAAGCAGAACTGCGGCTACTCTTCCACTTGTATTCCACTCTTTTACTGTAGAGTGAAAATGGGACAGCCCTAAGACAACTCTACTGACAATCTGCTAAAATGTTTGCAAGAAGCTTTTAACTGTTTGCAGTAACTAAACAATACATACACTGGCTACAATGCAGAACTGGCAAAATAATGAACACAGAAAATGATTTGATTGAACTCTACCTGATGTGCAAGATCTTGTGAGTCTTTTCTATGAGTTGTTGTGATGTAGGCTAATAATAGGTGAAATGTTAAGTTGGGTTGCTAGTTATTGCGACCCCTGTACTGTTGCTTCTCTATGTCTGTATGTTGTTGTATGTTCAGCTGCATGTGTGCCTGAATAGCTGTTGTCAGCCGAATGCATGAGGTGGGATGTCATTGATGTCCACACTTTAATCCATGAAGCCACAGTGAACACCGGTTCATTTGTCAGTGTAACAGTTACCTGGATCTGTATCCTTTCAGACCTTTCAGTAATGCGCCATGTGGACAGAAGCAAGTCTTTAATCCTGGATGATGGTGTCTTTATTAGGCAGTCCATCAAACTAAACCTCTGCACTGACAAAAGCCTCCTTTATGCATTCTCTCTCTTTGTGCTAAGCCTAGATAACTGTTTGCTCGTTGCAGTTTCATTTTTGCCGTACAGATACACAGGTGTTATCAATCTTCTCATCTAATTCTTCTACCTTTTTCAGGAGGAAATGCTGTGACGGATTCAGGTTTGTGATGGGCCAGTGCATACCTGAAAGTAGGTAAACCATACACACTATCCTAAAACTTTGGCTCATGAACTCTCACATCTGATTTAAATGCTCTAAATTTGATATAGTTCCTTTCATTAGTGCGGTCTATAGACTAAACAGGCTGCAGAAAACACAGCCTGCAGACCAGATTTGTCTATTTGGACCTTCAAAGAAGTCCAGATAACACAGATATTATGGTCAACTTTTATTAGTTTGGAGTAATTATTTTTAAGGACTTGTTACAGATGATTGCAGTGCATTAGATCAAACAATATAACAACCAAAAAGAAACAGCCCACAGGTTTGGCACGGACAGACATTTGTGATATATAAAACATCTGATAATTGTGAAAATGGGACTTACATAATCATTATTAGGGAATATGGGTGAAGAGCGTTGACAAATGTATTTAGTGTCAATACATGGGATATAGACTGATCTGTGCCTCCATAGAGTAACAGTGATTCACTTCAGCCACCAGAGAACACTGTTCCTCTATAAACATAACAATCTTTTAAGCCCTGCAAAATGTATTTATTCTTTGAATATGGTATATAATGGGCATATGGATCTATTTACAAGTTTAAAACCAGCTAAGTTCCATAGAATTACTTAAATGTGGGCCATACCTTTTCGGTCAGAGTCTTTAATGGAGCAGATAGGATCAGATAAAAGAACTGTACCCTGAGACATGGCTAATTTTTTGCTCAGTTGGATTATAAAATTAACTGGAGTGTACTAACCTGACTCTGCCAGATGGTTATGTGTGACAAAACATCTGGGAAGTAGTTGGAAACTGTTTGAAAAAGTGCAGGCACTTTTCAAACTTCAGCCAATCAGATCCTCAAACCACATAACGTAATCAACCTCTTGAAGAGCGCAAATATCTTCTCCATCATGAAAAGCCTTCAGTAGCGTCCTTTGTTCTTCCTTCAGTGAAGAAATACCTTCTAGTTCTGATATAATGGATGCTAGCAGCATCTATGCTAACCTCTTTAGCAGTCATCATTCTTGTTTAAGGAATAGTGTCTTCGTGCTGTTTAAATAACCAACCTGAAAAGTCAATACAGACTATTGGTTTCACATAGGTGAAAGTCTTGTGTTTGTTTGACCCATCCATCCACCCTGACCTCCTTCCTACACAGACTCTTTATTCGGCACCTTTATAAATGCATAGGTGAGAAAATCCTCTAGTGGATTGTTTCATGTGTTTCATAGATGCAAAAGTAATGATGATTCATAAGTGTCCAAAATCTCAATTCACTGCTCACTATAGAGTAGACTACTGAGTGTTTATTCAATGGGGAGTAGTGAATGAGTGAACAAGGTGGTGATTTTTGACACAGCTTTTAGTTTCCCAGTGAGCCATGGCAGTGTGACAGTGAGCCAGGACCTTGAAACCAAAGCAGCAAAATGGAATTCAGCCATTATTTATTTTGTTATTTATGCTGCACCGGTCAGCTCCCAGTTGTGGATGTGGAACTTTATGAGTGTAAAGAGGTGGTAATAGAGACTAATGGAGCTCCTGGGTGATTACAGTAAGGCTGGTTTTCAGACAGTGATCCTGAATAACTTTAACATGCTCAGTCTGTGTACTCTCTCTCTCTCTCTCTCTCTCTCTCTCTCTCTCTCTCTCTCTTCTGTAGGCATCGATGTGTGTGCAGCGTCGCCTTGTGAGCAGCAGTGTACTGATAACTTTGGACGGGTTGTCTGCACATGTTACCCCGGCTATCGCTTCGACCGAGAAAGACACCGCAACCACAAATCTCCTTACTGTTTGGGTCAGTACTGATTAAATACTTTTGACTATCATGTCTGTTACTGTGTCAATGTGGGATACTCCTCGTCCATTTCACTAAACCACAGTCCTTTGTTGCTTACAGTGGCACCAGTGCATCTTCTGCCTCTTGAAACAGCACTGACATGTTGAAAGTGATTGTTAAGGATTTTTCTTTTAACTGGAAGAACAGCGCCCTCCTCCTGATTTGTGTAGCAGAGCAGTTTCTCTTTTTACCGTAGAGATTTCTCACCAAATCTACAACCCAGCGTCGCATAATGTGAAATGCTATGTAGACGCGATTATATTATAATGAAGTTAGAACAGAGTTATTGTACATAGCCCTAGAGCACAGTCTCAAAGAGCCTAACAACTGTCATATTATGAAAAACAAAATGAAAACAATCTAAGACCCATGCTGAAGTGAAGACAAGAACTGACTTTAACACTAGACACCTCCAAACTTGAATTATATTTTTCATTGTGATAATTTTTCTTTCTCTCTCTTCTGTCATATACACACAGACATTGATGAGTGCGAGCACCCAGGCAGCAGCGTGTGTGACCACGAGTGTGTGAACACAGTGGGCAGCTTTCTGTGTCGCTGCCGCAGCGGATACATACTGGCACCGGACCAACGCTCCTGCATCCCTGTACACAACTGTGAGTTTATGTTTCAGTTGAGTTTTACAGCTTTTGGAGCGGCAAAATTAGAATAAGAGTCCATCTGTTCTTGGGTTCGTTGCTATTGTCATTTTAGGCTTCCACTGAAGGCAATGTTCTTATGTAGCTAATATCAGTATCAGTAATACTAGTGATCTTGTGCATATATGTTTATTTTAAAAATGGGCAATGATTCCGATGATACCAATTGTTTTCATGTTTCTATAGTATTTTAAAATTTTTTTTTTTTACTATTATTAAACTATATTTAAACACTTTTACACGTTTGATTTGACTCTATATTGCTCAAATAGTACAGTGTGACTCCAGTAATTGTGATGGGTTGGATTCCCAGCTATCCATGCTGAAAATGTGTGCTGGAAAACATTTTTAATGTATTATTTGTGTTGCAGTGAGTTCCTCAGGGAAGTCAGACACCCTGATGAGTGCTGGTACCTGCTCGTTCACCTGTCAGGATTTTATGAACATGAAAAACAGTCTGCTGCAGCTAAAGCTAAAGCTGGGCAACACACAGTCCCCCAACCAGGTAACATGTCTACTTTAGCCCCCTAAAACTGAACCAAAAAGTATTTTACAGTACTTGATCTTTTTTTGTCTTACTTTCCTCTGTTTATTCTTCTTACCCTTTCCTCTTTATTCTGTAGGTACCTGGCCTGGCCAACAGCAGTGACAAACCGTCTCTGGGAAGGGCAGGAAAAAGTCCAGATAGCCCTTGTCTTCCTGGTCTACCCGGCCCTCCAGGAGCTCCTGGGGTCCCAGGTAATGTCGTTATAACTGTAAGGTTGGAGAGGTTAAAGAGCCAGCATCTGCTACACAATCAACAATTTTATTATATCAAATAAAATAAAATGCTTATAATTTAAGCACTGCAAAAACTGTGTATAAGATTAAAGCAGACAAGTGTAAAAGATGTAAGTAATAGCAAAGCGAGTTGAAAATATAATGAGGCTCTGCAAGTCACGTTTAAGCTTAATGTTATTTCCAAAACTAGATCCTTAAGGTGGCCAGAGTTTTAAACGGTCTGAGCAGCGTAGTAGAAACAATGATTGCTCTGTTTCCTGTTATGATATTGACTATCCAATTTTAATTCATTCTCTTAATCACTGTCTACATCTGTCCTCACCAGGACATCCAGGAGAACCGGGAAAGAGGGGAGACGCAGGGGACAGGGGCCCACCTGGCCCTCGGGGGCCACGGGGGGACATGGGACCCATGGGTCCAGAGCCTGACCTGAAGCACATCAAAAGAGGCCGCAGGGGCCCGGTGGTAAGTAAAAGAACAATTACATCATAATTTAGGGGATATCACATCTGTTTTGTACACAGAAGTTTTTCAGTTTGGTTCCCACTGGAGCCTCGTGTTCAGGACATCAAAGTGACGTCTGAAAATCTCACTCCACTGGTTTTAGTGGGGTCCTTTCTCTTGATACCATTAGCTTGACAAACCTTCTCATACCTGTCTATCATTCATACAGGGACCCCCTGGGGCACCAGGAAGAGACGGACTAAAGGTCATTATTACATATCTTTATTTTCCTCATATTTGTTTTGATTTTGTCTCTGTGTGTTTGTGTATGCATGTGTTGAGCTACACTGTTGCCATCTAGTGTCATGACCTCAACACCTGAGAGAATGGAGTCCACTAAAGCTTAAAAAATGACTGCTCTGACTGGGTCACACACAGCCTTATAAAATCTAACTACATGCACTTCTGAAAAGATAACCTTAGCATATTTCTGGTTTCTTTCTTCCCTCTAAATATACACTGACAGTGATTATATTCTACACTACAGACTCTCTTAACCTGTTTGCCATTCAGTTGAACACTAGTAAGTAAGTAGTCACTTAAGCAATTTGTACTGCTCTTGTAAAAGTGTATTGAAATTGGGTTTGTGCTGTTTCTCATCTACAGGGTGACAGAGGAGCTCCAGGTCCTAGAGGTCCACCTGTAAGTTATTTTTAAACCTACTATAGCTACTGCCCCTATGCCAATTCCTTAGCCTGTTTTTCTATTTTAGCTGCCTCCTTCATCTACATTTTGTGCTCATTTTACAATGTAAATGTAGACCTGCACTGTCTTTTTATGTAGACAGTCTAACATGTACATTGAATTTACACATTAAACAGAAACAAGACAAAACAGTTCTGTAGATGCATGATGTATCTGTACCTCTAACTTATTTTTGCATTTTGATTTAACTTACGGGTCAGGCTTTGTTTTATGGATCAGGCGTTGAAGTGGATGTAGTATCAATCAATGAGGGACTGTAGCTTTTATACGACTCAAGTATACAAGTGGTTGTTGCATAAAATGTAGGCTATTTAGTATTTTTTTGGTGTAATACACCATTTTTTATGCAGTGAAAATGGTATATTGGGCCTCACACCTCCCAAAAGGAAACCCAGTGAAAAATGACTTTCAGGGCATCAATCCCTCATTGTGTCCTCTGTCCCCAGGGACCACCCGGCTCCTTCGACTTCCTTCTGCTAATGATGGCTGACATCCGCAATGACATAATTGAACTGCAAGAGAAGGTGTTTGGGGAGCGGCGAGGCATCTCTCTGGACAGTCCTCCTCATTCCAGCGGGGAAGTAGAATTTGTAGAGTGGGGCTCTGGACAGGGAGACCTCATGCTCAATACCTGACCTTTGACATCCCTCTCACAGTAACAGTCACTCAAACCCAGCAAAACAAACACCAAACTTGACTCTTTGTTTCTTTCTTGATAACGGATGCTGGTGGTCTAAGTGCCAACATGTAAATCATTTCTAAACTCACAGCTGGGATGAACTGAGCAAGGAGCCTTGATTACACTCTCAACACTGCCACAGACAGTAAAACAGAGAGGCAGAAGGATTATAAAAACAGAAATTGGACCACAGACTCTCTTAACCACTGCAAGCACTGCCTGGCTGCCTCTCATATGCTGTGGTGTGACTGAGGGATGTGTGTGCAGGACATAGAGTGAGAATGATGCAGTGTGCGCCTTTATGTCTGAGCCTCTGAGCTGAACCACTTCAAACGATGAGCTTTATCGTCTACATCTCTTCCTCTTCCTGAGTCTGTCCATGGAGGCACTGCTGCCACTGACAGTTTGCCTGCAGGGCACTGGTACAAAGACCCAGGACCCGCACCGTGAGTCTCCCCTGCACCTGTCTGCAGTATCCAGCCCTCAAGTCGGAGCTCTGCAGCTACGCTTTACTCTGAGGCATCTTCAGAAACTCATTCATGAGATTCAAGAGTATTACAATCTCAGTCCTGTTCACAAAAACAGCCATGCCTGGTGTATTTTTGGTGTAGATTGTACAATAAACAAACCATCTTAATAAAATCCAAGAGAGATGTAAAATATGTCAGACATCCATATCTGCTGCTTATGAATAACACCCAGTATTAAATATTACTATATAATTATTATTATTATAAAAGATTGTAGAAAATCAAAACATTAAATTAAAAGAAGATAATGGATTTATGTATTGGAAAAGGCAGATAATCACTTTTATAATATCCTTTTTATAACCAATATATCATCAGGTAAGTAACTGTGAATATATTCCCCCACATTCACTTGGGAGTTGACCATAAACAAGAGACACAAAGAAGGAAGGCTGCTTGAAAGTTTTTTCAGTTTTTTTTACTGTGAAGCAGCTGCCAACAAGGATCAATTCATTGTTTGTCAAAATCTAGATTTGACCTTTTTTAATGTTTATTTTTTGTTAATGGATCATCAAATTGCAAAGAAGTAATAAACGTTACATATTTTATTCATTCATCATTCATGGCTGCAACGATGTAGGCCTACTTGGTTCCTATAATCTATAATCAGTTAATGACATACATGACATCAATAAAAGTCTGAAAGAAAAAAATAGTATATTGTCAATATTTTAACCCCCAAAAGTCTCACAAATCATGTTTTTATGGGAGCTCATGTTTTATTCAGAGAAGTCAAGCTCCCCCTGGCTCCCCTGTAGTTCGTACCCTGATTTTGAAAATCATTGAGCATTTTTGTGATGAAAGTGGATGTGTAACATTCCGCTCCTCATTCTCTCAAAGTGCGATTTACAACCCAATTTGCACCAGTATCACTGATTAACGACCTTGTGTTCCTGCTTCTAAATAAATTACGTTTTAATCTCCACTCCTGCTACCTGAAGTGAAGCCTCTCCACCAGCAGAGGGTACTAAATAACATCTAATCCCCAGAAAGTTGGGCCTCACAACTGTTATCGCTCTGAATACCAACAAGGTAAGACAACCAAAGTCTCAGTGAGTTTTCACAGCACAACATCCTTATAATAATTACCAGCCATAAATATTTATAGTTTCCCAAACATGCAAGTTATGGAGAATAAGTAAATCATCCTAGCATTTATGTGCTAGACACACTCTTTATCCTCAGCACCGACTGCTGAACTGTAGCGTGGCTGAGTGTCATTATGAAAGGTGTAAGTATCAGAGGTCAAATGCCTGGGTATAAACAGTTGGAGGGATAATTATAGACCACAGGCTGTCAGAGGGGGGCCTGTCTGGGCTCGTACCCACCACCAAAGACATGGCTGAAAAATAACACGGTGTGTTTGATCTGCTGTGGTCGAGTTCACACTGTCTGGCCTTTTGCTGCATTTGATGCTTTGATCCTGATGAACAGATCTTAGTAAATTATGCTGTGTTTGTGAGAAAGAGAGTGTACGGCTGTGTGTGTGTGTGTGTGTGTGTGTGTGTGTGTGTGTGTGTGTGTGTGGGTTATATGACAGGCTTCTCACCTAACAGCTCCGCCCCCTGCCGTGCGGTCACTGCTCACAGTACAGTGGTTGTCGGGGCAACTGGGATCAGGAAAAACAACATGAAACAATTTAAGAACCATGTCAGTGAGAGAAAGGCAAGAGAGTGAAAGAGATTATTGCATTTCCTTCACCACTTGTCATGCAATTGGAGGCTTTCCTCTCAGCCTGTAGGGGACAGCAGAGACGAGATCAACAATAGCAAAAAGTTCACATGCCACCTGCGACAAGAGATCTGACACTTCCATCATAAAGAGATCAGTGACAGGAGCAAAAACTGCCCCATTTTCAGTAAGGCAGAGACTCAGATATCATACATTTTAATTTCTTACAGTTACAACTGATACCATCATTATAATTGTCAGCTTATATTTATTTGTAAAATATGTTTTTTTATTGGCATCACTGATGATAAGCCTTTTACATCACACGTTTTCTAAAAATATGCACTTAATCTCTTTTTAAAACTCTTCATACAATCATATCTCTAACTATCTATGACATAACAAATTTCTGGAGTTTTCTTCGAGGGCGTTGGGAAGCCAGACTCCAATGATGTTGTACTGTGAGGAGAGTTGTGCAACTATTTGCTGGCATCTTTAGATGAGAATAAAGATATAACAGATACAATTTGGCCAGATGTTTCCTAGTATGAGAGGAATTTCCTTACTGGCACACTATGGCCATTCATAAATACACCTCATGCACGACAGGACTGTCACTTCAAACGGTCTGGGCCCTGTCTGTGTTAAAGTGTGTGTGTGTCTGTGTTAAAGTGTGTGCTTATGAGAGTATTCTGTGTGTATGTCTGTTTGTTGTGATGTGTGTATTGAAGTGCATATTCAGGTCAGTTAATTAATACACTAATTATGTTGTCTTCTGTTGATCTGTGATTTGAAATCTTTTCTTTTGGCTGACCTCAGAGGGGGGTCAAAGGTCACATTTAGAAGTGGTGATTCAGTGTTCATCTCAAGGATGAATAAACAGGTCAGAAAGGGTCCCGGACAGTCTCTAACTCATTATGCCTATTAAATGACTATACCAGTTTTTTAGCTAATTTTACACAATATATACAATACATTCTGACTTCTGATCAATACAGTACAAAATCAACATGCTGAATGTATAAACTTACTATCATAGCAAGCAAGAACGTCAAGCCCTTCCACTCTCAGCCCTGAAGGTGAAAAAAATTATATTTAAAAACATAAGGCGCCCTGGTGGTCTATGGTGGCTAGAACCTTTGCTGAATGTCATTTCCCATCTTTCCTCATTCTATTTTATAAAAGAATCAAACTGCACCAAAAGTATGAAAAAATAATATTTTTTTATAACTAATTAATTTAAAAAAATCTTAAATATGCTTTGTGAAATGTTAATGTAAACTGTGTTCATTTATATTGAATGGGCTCAAACATGTGCTGATGTGTATAAAGTACAAAAAATAACATGTCAACAGATAACCACACTTATGATATGATGATAGTACTGATGGCTAATGAAGGTGCTGAATCTCCCTTTCATCACCTGACAAGATTTAGCAAGCAGGCTTCAATGCATGCGGTGATTAAGGAATTCACAGGTCACCGCAGTTGCTTCATTGCAATAAAAAAACACAACATTTTTAGAAGCTTCTTGAGGCCAAGTATTGATGTGGTCTTCTAAGAAAAACAGAGGTCTACGGACTGCCAGGACCATCTGCGTCTGGAAAACCCCAGGCAATCAAAGCACATATTACAATCATTATTCTTCAGTACTCAGTTTGGTCCTCCACCAGTCTAGGATCAACAGCTACTAACCGACCCATCTCTTCATTTCACCCAAAAGGTATTCGATCCCAAACAGAAATTTCCACAATGACATCAAGGGCTTTTATGGGGTTATTTATATGTGGGCTTTCTGAAACCTCCCTGCACTTCTTGTTTCATTTTTCCCATGAAATAATATGGAAACCGCATTCATTGCATGAGAAGAAACCACTGAGCTGTACTGAACTTTTCACAACAGTTTCATGTTATAGATGTAAAAAAAAAACTGAAAGCAGCATAAGTAGGCTTCCTTCATACAAATTGTTTTCAGCATGAATGCAGGCTCCAGTAGCAGGTCAACATAGCTGCAAGTTTATCATTAATCTGAGAGAAGAGGCACGTACACAAGATAAAACTCGATGGCTAGGAAGTCCTGCTGAAAATCTTATTCAGCATCCATGAAAGAGACAGATTTTTTCAGGAGTTGACTGAGACCAAAACAGATCTACAAGGAGAGTCAGTATAAAATACATTTATCAGGTGAACGAAACTTAACTCCAAATGAAGGCTAATGTTGCTACAAGTATGCTGTATCTGTAAATTGACGTTAGCTAACATGTTAGCTATAACAATCTATATAAAATATCTGTTGGGTTTGCAGCTTTTTCTGCTCTCTCAGGTGGCAAAACATTTTACCTTTGTTTTCCTTCAAGGTGGGCAGGAGTAAGTTTTCATCAGGAGGCTTGTAGCTGTGACATGCAGTCACCTGCAGATGTCAACTACAGGACTGATTTTGCTGGATTATGTAATGAGAAACATTGCTAAATCACAATACAGGTTGGAACAGCCTGAGTCAGAGTCAATGAATCCAACCCACAGGCACAGGTAATTGGGATGTCACACAGAAATCTTACAGTTTATGTAACCAGATTTAATGTGCAAAAGGGTGAGGAAGTTGCCTGGCCCAGCAGCTGAGCCGCTGCAATTCCTGATAAATATTTAGGTGTTTCCAGGGATCCGTAGCCATTGCATGCGTTAGGTAAATCACAGGTGTCCATCATTGCTGCGGTATGCAGCTGCGTGCAACAAGACGAGGGAGCGCACACACATATAGACATGTCTTACTATCTAACATGCAGCCATGCACGCACATATGATCTCCCGCACGAAACACAGGCATGCCACAGAACACCTGACAGGTGCAGGCGTGGTCTGCTGCGAGACACGCTATCTTGACACGCTAACTCATTCTTAAATCTGAGTTACATGCCTGAGGCTGAGTGCTAAGCACCCAAGTTTACTCTCTGAAGCTTGTTCCTCTTCCAGTCCTTGTCTCTGGGCACACCCTCTTCCGATTGTAGGCCGACTTCTGTCATTCTGTTTATAATGGAGCTGCTAAGAGGCCTGAGAATCGGAGCTTGTCTGATGAGTAATGGACTTATTAGCTGTGTCAAAAGCATGCCACCAATCCCATGATCAGTATGTATTATCTGTTGTCCTGCAGGTGTCTGTTTAAGAAGCCACTGCATGAGGCTCTTTCAGAAGCACTGATCCCTCAATCAAGACAAGACCTTACAACAGTGGTTAACCTGACATTTTTCCAGAGGAGGCTGTCTGCACACGATAACTAGTTTGAGTGTGTTTGAATTTGTTTCTGCACAGATCCGTCTGAGGCACACATGCAAGCTCAGCGAAGCTCAGTGTTGGCAACACATAAACGGCTTTAATGTGAGAATTCAAATAGTCATGACAGCAAGAGCACTAAAGTTCCACATTTTCTCACAGTTAGAAAGGTCTGATTTATTTACCATGTGAATGACACACATGATTTGATTCTCCACAGTAGTGTCTGTCGGCAGACTTTACATAGATACAATATCACACATCTGTCAAGAATGCATATCAAAGGGTTGTCAAACGCTTTTAATTAGCTTCACAGGAAAGTTGCACTTGATTGGGATCGTTATGGCAGAATTGGACAGAAAAATCTGAGTTGGCAGATTAATGGCAACACACTGTGTAAACTCCCCTGGCCTGAGGCACTTGGTCTTTATACACCTTGGCTTCCTCTGTCATTTACAAGTTGTTCGCATGCACGCAGCAGAGCCAAGAGTGTGAAAACCGGATGAGCAAGTCCATAGCTCTCTTGTCCTTTGGGGGGAAAAAAAGTGTTACCTCTGGTTGCAGAGTTGCTTTGCGTGAGGACAACAGCTTCATCTTTCCAGACCTCCTGACCTGG